CGCCTCGGTAATTTAAACAATGCTTTAGTTGAACACGTAACTAAATCTGATCATAATTTCGATTTTGATTCTGTGAAGATTTTTAAATATATTCATAATGAAAATCTTTATTTTTTACATATATTTATATATATATATATATATATATATATATATATATATATATATATATATATATATATATATATTAAAGATAAGAGAGAGAAGCCGCAAAAAGTTTTTGGTTATAATGTTGATATTTTAAATATATGTGTGTGTGTGTGTGTGTGTGTGTGTGTGTGTGTTTACATATGCATGCTGTATATATTGATGTTATATTCAGCACCTCAATTGCGGAGTTTCGTAGACGAAACCTTTCGTAATCATTGTCTGAAGGTATCAGCAATTACTTTCACATTTTGATTTACCCCAGTACGTATATATATATATATATATATATATATATATATATATATATATATATATATATATATATATATATATATATATATATATATAACACCTTTTATTTCCACTGATGAAGAACTAATACATATATCTGTTTTCGATGTAGTCCTATTACACGGCGACTCACTTTTTGGTATCTTTCAACGAATTCTTCACCCCTTCCGAATAGAAATTTAGGGTGGCTCGCGGAGCCATGTCTGCTCTGCTTGCTTATTTGATCACATAACGCGCACAAACTTTACAGTTCCCAAAGCCTCCGTCCACTATGACTTGTAATGATCCATGACTGTTGCCCACGATAACCGCATCTTGAGCTATCGTGATAGGTCGGTCTTTCCTGGTCAACATATCCAACCGCTGAATGTGTTCTTAACGTGCGCAGTTTTGATGGTCGACCAGATCGATCTTTGCCCATTTCACTTGTTCTTCCCAAATAAAAACATTCTACCCACTCATACACGTTTCGTTGATTCATGATTCGTTCCCCATACTGCACCCACACCCTTTAATGGATTTCCGAAAGACTAACTCCATCTGCCCACAGAAAGAAGACTACATCGCTTTGTTCTTCGATGGCGCAATCGCTCAGTGGGGCCTCCATGCGTTGTACCCTGCCACTCAGCTAAACAATGGAATGTTTCGTGGGACTAACTACCCATGATCCCATGTACCTCGTAATTTCAAAATAGCCCTTACTTTCTGATTTACCCCCATATATCGTGTATATGTGTACCTATATATGTGTATCATGTACATATATATGATTATATGTATATTACATGCATGCATATATGTGATTCATATATATATATATATATATATATATATATATATATATATATTTTTGTTGCTTTCTATACTTTTAATATAAATATAAAATATGTTTATATATGATTTTTTGCGCCTATATACATTTAATAACACATTATTAGACACTTGCTGTTTTGCCAATATATAAAATAAATACTTATTGGAATCTCAAGGTTTATTTGCTGAATAATGGCAACATCAATCTGCGCAGTTATGATGAAAACTGGTTTGTTCTACGCAGACGTTAACAAACAGATCGCCATCTCTGTCTCCTGTATTTCCAAATTTCAAATTAATAGCCATGTTGTGAGTTTGAATATTCAAAATGGAGGTAGTCATCTGATTTGTGGGATAAAGAGGAAAGCTTAATTCCAAAGATTACAAAATGTTATGCAATACTGCAATGTGCAAAAATAATGTAATTATAACTAAAATGTAGAGGTTCACTGGAGATCCGATGTATATGGTGTATATGTGTGTTTATATAGGTATACTGTAAAACATATTGTCTATGCAGGGCGGGTCTGCTCAGTCACCAGAAATGACACCAACAGTCTATTGCATATGGCGATTTGGTAATGGCATGCTTTGAATTCCCAATCTGCACTCAGGTGTGCAAGTACAAGTCGGTCCTGACAAGGCATATGAAAAGACACATTGGAAATAATGATAAAAATCACCTTCCACCACCTAGAGATGATTTGATATGCCACATATTTAACAAGAAATGCAGATGACTGGCTTTATGAGCCACTGTCGTTCACCCAACAAATGAATGCAATGTTGTGGGAGGGGGAGCTTAACTGTTGGACTGGACATGTCAGTGATAGTCATACTTGTTTCGTGAGTCTACAGCCACTACACCTCCTACTACTGTATATATATATATATATATATATATATATATATATATATGTAAGCAAATATGTGGATATAGATCCGACAGTATGAAGAAAAATATACTGAAAAAAATCCTAATATGCGATTATGCTTTTTAATGTTTAATGTCAACGTCGGACGTTTCGGTCTAATTTGACCATCTTCAGGACATATTCATAAAACATAATTAACATAAACCATATACAATTCAACATGAAAAAGACGATGGACATAAAAGCAATACCAATCCAAACAGATAACAGAAATCTTTTATAAGATCAGCGTTACGTGATCATATCTAAACGGAACGCTGATCTTATAAAAGATTTCAGTATTGTTCAATGGTGTACTATAGTTGTATCTGCCATTACAAAGTCTCTACAACAACGCGTATTCGTTGACATCACAAAAGTGGTAACGAGTGTTTGTTGACATTACAAAAGTATACATAGAATACACTGTTTTTAAAGGCGCGCATATAAATATAGTTCAAGAAGCCAAACGACTTGATGATTTTATGCACGTCCATGTTTTATCTCATTCGCTGATGAAGAATATTGAATTTCTTAATAAAATATATTTCAAACTTACATGATGAAGAATTAGCCGGCTTACTCGCCGGATATTAATGCGACTGCAAAATGATTTCACATTATCCAGGGGAAGCTTTATATTGGCGAAAAACTCAACGGAAAGACACTCTAACTCAATATACAACAGACAGATTTTTAGCTGATCAAACAACAATAAACAATTTTTAAACTATTCTGTTTGCCAAATCTTTTAAACCATTATGTTTGTTAAATCTTATTATGTTTTCCCCTCTCTTTTGTCTCTTTCATCTTTTTGAATGTCTCTTTATTTTCTCATTCCCTTCAGGTTTTCGCAACTGCTTCGCCTCTGTTGAGTGTTGATTCATTTACCTTCTTGAAGCTTTGCCGCGCGTACCCTGTCTGTGAGGCCTAAGTTCTACTGACTACATCACCTGCAGAGGGCTATGATCCCAATCTCAGTGCGTTTCCATGGAAACTCAAGTATATGCTCATCAGTGTTTACCTGTAGACTTAAATATAAACCCGACCAATATATATCAATAGACTCTAGTTCTGGGTATGGCAAGACCTCTGCTCATGAGATTGGAGGTTTTGAGGAGCGTGAAATCGCCTCTTAATTGCTTTTTTTCCTAAATCCACTCTGAGACGAGATGGTAAAACCTGTTACGGTTCCCGGTATGAGAAATAGTGAACCCCCCTCCAATCAAAACAAATCACTATGAACCTGCAGGAATACATTTTTGTAGTACAAATACCAGCAATACATTTTCATAGCAAAATGACCAGCAATATATTTTATCTGTAGTTGATCCAAAATATTGTGTTCAAAATATTTAGATTCCGGCAAAAATTATTATTTCTTATTTAAACCCATAGAGGTGGATATGGCGCTAAACAGATGAACCAAACGACCAACATCAAAGAATACTTTCATGACATTAATCCATATAATATTCTAAAATTTATTAAGGAAATCAATCTGTATTCCAAAACAGAAGATTTTCTTTGTAATTGAAGCCATAGAATTTTGTTCAAAATATTTAGATTCCGGTATTAATTAACCCATAACCGTCGATATGCCGTTAAACAATCAACCAACCAAACGACCCACATGAAAGCACTCTTTCATGACATTAATCCATCTTACAATTTCTTAAGGAAATCAAACTGTATTACAGTAGATTTTGTTTCTAGTTGAAACCATAGAATTTTGTTCAAAATATTTAGATTCCGGCATTAAATAACCCAGAGAGGTCGATATACCGCAAAACAAAATGAACGAAACGGCCAACAAAAAAGAACTTTTTAATGACATTAATTCATATAATATCCAACAATTTCTTAAGGAAATTAAACTGTATTCAAAAACAGCAGATTTTGTTTGTAGTTGAAGCCATAGAACATTGTTCAAAATATTTAGATTCCCGCATGAAATAACCCATAGAGGTCGATATGCCGCTAAACAAAATCAGCCAAACGACTTCTTTCATGTCATTAATCCATATAATATCCTATAATTTCTGAAAGAAATCAAACTGTATTCCAAAATATAACTTCAACAAAACTACAACATAAAACACACATATCACTGCCTCTAGTAATTATGTCCACACAAACATGTATATGCACAAAATCTGAGTATCATTTACCATGTATTCAATTGTGAAAGCAGAATAATATATAATCTTTTTATTACTTCAAAGCGCCCAAGAAAATTAAATTCCGGCTTTAAATAACCCTTAGAGATGGATATGCCGCTAACCAATATCAACCAACCAAGAAGTAGTCTCACGTATAAACTCGACCAATGTATACTTATTGACTCAAATATAACATCCGAGAAATTATTTAGATTGAATTTCATGTAGTCTCTTGGTGGCAATCAATAAATATTGAAGGCGTTAATTTGATGCCTTCTTTTACACTCATGAAGTTTGTGAATGAGTAATATTGGTAATGTCGATAAACAGAAAAGTTTGATTTTTTTTTTTTAATCAAAACTTCTTTCCTTTGGGTTTAATAATACTATTAGCTGTGGGCAGATGTTCGTTCAAACATTTTATTGTTAGTTATTTTTATTTTATTATTTCAGTTTTTCTCTCTTATTTTGTTAGTGCTGTCGTGCCGACTAGCATTAACCAATTTCTTCTTATCACAGCCGCCATTGTAGGCATCATTTTCACTTTCGCTTCAGGTCTGTTTTTCTGTCTTTGTTTTGATTCAGTTTTGCTTTCACTTTTCCCAACCAGCTATCTCGACATTACTTGGTTTTAGTATGGAATTATATCAGTCATTTTCATCGGCATCAATATGTCTACTCATTTGTTTTTTGTTTTTGTTTTTTTCTCCCCACCTCCGACCACCACTCTTGCAATGATGATATATTTTCTTCTCTCCTACTTTCTCCTCGTCATCAAGTATTTTTTTGTTTTATTTTTTTTTTGGAAACCCCTTATTTCATATTTCACTTCCGGTTCCTCTTCCCTCCCCCTATCAGGTTTCATGTTTCCGCTTTCTTCCTTCTGTCAGTTTTATTTCCAACCTTACTCATTTCTCTTTCTACTCCCCCTTTCTCTATTTAGTCCATTTCACTTTCTATGCCACCTCACCATAACTCCCCTCAAAGATTTAATCTAAGAGCTCCTCATTTTCCGCTTTTTCAGCTCTTATCTTCAATTTCTCCATCCTCTCTCTACTCCTCGACCTCCATTGAATCCTCGTCTACCATCAGCTGTTGTTTCAAACACCTTATCACCTTTCTCTCTCTGTGTCTTCATCGCTCTCCCTTCCACCCATCCCATTCCTCCTACTCCTTCTCACATCCAGTTTTTGTATTAGATCCTCTCATTTCCTGCTTTCTCCCTTTCGATCGTCACTTTTATGTGAAACCTACCTCGTCTTTTACCTCTTTCTGCTACTCCTCTAACTTCGTTATTTCAAACACCTTATTTCAAAAACGTTATCTCCGCCACTTTCCCTCCTCCCCATCGCAGTCCTACTCCTCCTACTCCTCACATCACATTTTATCTCAAATTCCCACATTTCCCGCATTCTTCTTTGCTGTCGTCTGTTTTTATTTCCAACCTAACTTTTCTCCTCCTCCTCCTCCTCTACATCAGCTGTTACTTCAAACAGCTTATTTTCTATATCATGTCTCCCTCTATTACTCGCCCTACTCCCCATTCCACAATTTCTCCTTCTACACATAACAGGTTTTATCTCAGCTCTTCTCCTTTACCGCTTCCTGCCTTTCTATCACCTGTTTTATCTCACACCCCTCACTCTTGCTCCTTTACCATGTGGCTTTTCCTTCTCCTCTTTCGAACCTCTCACTTCACTTTCCTTTCTTGCTCTAGTTTCCGATCTCATGTTCATTTTTGCTCCGATCAGGAAAATAATATTTCCGGAAAAGTCAGAAATATGTTTTTTGCCATTATCTTCCTTAAGGCTGTTAATCGCGTACGTTAGCAAAAATGATTTCTTCAGTAGACAATACCGAAATAATGGAGAAAGAGAGAGAGAGAGAGAGAGAAATAAATTGAGAGAGTGGGAGAACATAAGAAGTTGGGAGAGTGACAGGGGAGAAGGATGAAGATGGATACAAAATGATGTTAAAGAGAATGGTTTGAGACAAATTGATAATTTACGTTTCTTTTTCATCTCTTTCTCTCTGTCTCTGCGCTTGCAGATATCAATCCATTTCGCCTCGGGATAATGTTTAGTGGTCTAGATTTTTACTGAGTTTTTGGACTTGTGTCAGACTTAGTTCAGCACAGTAAATGATTCGCCAGCAGAGAATGGGATGATTTCGATTGAATTTTACGGCACTTCTACGACTGTTCGATTATTTGACATCGAAATCCGATTTATTATTCTTAAATCTATATATTAATCCGATTTAAAATATGGTTTTTTCCGCTATTTTAAATCAATTAATTTATAATATTAATGCTCTGTAAATTTACATTGAGCACTAATTTGTAAAAATAAAAATATCTATAAGAACACCGGATTATATATCTTACTGTTCTTACTATATATATATATATATATATATATATATATATATATATATATATATATATATATATATATATATATATATATATATATATATATATATATATATATATATATATATATTAATCCGACAGATTTTTATCACTTTAATCGTTATCTCTAGTGGTTCCCTCTGCCTAGGGAGAGACAAGTTCGAATCCTGCCAGAGAGCGCATATTTTTTTTTAATAAGATTTCTCGATTATTCAGGTCAATATTTTACTTTCTTTACGTTTGGAATCGAAGCGTAGAAAGCACGTTAATTTAGAGTATTCTTCTATCGAGAAAGATTTCGCTTGAAAACACAATTCACTGTTTCTTTATGGGCAAAGCTTCTTCATGGCCGAGTTGGTTAAGGCATGTCGAACCTAACGACGGTTTCCCTCTGCTCTAAGAGACGTAGAAATGGAATCCTGCCGGAGAGCACATATTTCCTTTAATAAAATGTCTCGAATATTCAGGCCGGTAGACGAAAATAAATATACTATTTGGTGAATAAACAGAACGTCTACTCAAATATGAGTATCCACTAAAATGAATGCTTAAAATGTTAAATCTATATGTAAATGTTGTGAGGGAGAATATTTCCCAACATGTTTAGACTCGGCCGTCGGAAGAAAAATATAAAAATACTCCTACATCAAGAGGAGTAACAGGAGGAGCAGTAGCAGCTGTAGTATTTGCTGAAAAAGGTTAGTCATTCACATTCTCTTCCCTAGTTTCTATTTTCTACATTACTATTGCTGTATGAGTCGTACGATTTTTGAATCAATCACGGGCAACGCCGGGCCATGCTGCTAGTTACTTAATATAAAGCAGGAACAATGGACCATACGTGGCAACAATATTCGAAGCATGGACGCATAGATATGTAAGATAGATTCAGGAGAAAGAAATGTGTCTAGCACGAGGCAGTGAAACAACATTCTTCGCTACAGACCTGACAATGGATTCAATATAATCTTTCCACTGCTCGCACGGGTTCGCTTCAGAATTCCGTGTAGTTTACCCAGATCGATATACACCTGATAAAGGCCGGAGGGTACAACGGTCGAAACCTTGTGGTAACAACAACAAAGATGAGGACAATAGTCCGAATATAAATACTGCAAATAATAATCCTTCCCCCCAGAAATTCAGACACTTTTTACTGGTTGCAATCGTAGGTAATCTGTAACCCTCTCAGCCTACGAGCAAATCGAATTCATATCAACAAATAGAAGACCTATATCTATAAATATAGAACGATACGAAAATCTATATTATTTATCTACCGTTACCATGCGAGCACTTTATAACTAAATAGATACTTTATCGTTTCGTATGCGAAATTATACAAAAAGATTTGATTGAAAAAAAAATAAGCCACATGAAAATGAAAGAGATTTGATATATTTCTTTTCTTCTTTTGTTCTCCGGCGTAGCAGGACCCGTGAAATTGGTTCATCTCCTAAAATATGTATTCTTGATTGGATGCTTAATGAAAGAAATAGCAGTCACAGTTATTAAAAATCAAAACAAAAAATACAATGAAAACGGCTTTATCAAGAAGAGACAAAAAAATGGTAATTCTTGATTAAGTTTATTTCTTTGAAGGATAAATTAAAAACGTCAAGAAGCGATTTTGATTAATTAAATCAACGATAATTCTAAAGTAAAAGAAGAAAAAAAAAACGAGCGGTGATCGTTTTCAGTCCCTAGACAGGTAACTGTCAGCGAGTACCAATTCCTGTAATCAACTTTGGAAATCGCACTTGTGAAAGCGAAGCAAAGTTTAAAAAATAAGATAAAATCAAACTCACTGCATATATAGTTTGAGACTCACCTCAAAAGACGACAGAATAGACTTTCACAGCAGAGCTCCTGAGAAGTCAGGTACATCAACAGGTTGACGCGAAAGATGAACTCTTACTGAAAAAGGTCCTTCTCGGAACGAAACGGGTCAGTAAGAAGTTTCTTTTTTCATTCAGTCATCCACCACTTTCATATATATATATATATAAGCAATTCATCGAGTCTGAAAGAAACCTCAGAAAGCACTGAACGGCCGTTTCGTCCTATATTTGGGACTCATCAGCAGTGCGCATCCGCTACCGAGAATTGAAACTCTAGCAGTTAGGTTGTCAAGCAAACATCATACCAACTGTTCCAGCGGGCCTCGGTGACGAAGAGATTGCAAATCAGGCTCAATATAGCGCTGCTCGCTCACATATTCCGTGGTGGAACTTTACTGAGTTCTCTCTAAACATAGGACTGTGTCCCCTGGAGCCACGACTATTATCACCAAGTCGCTCATACTAGAGCATTAGAAGCCGGTTCAAGCAATGATTTCTATCATATATATATATATATATATATATAAGAGAGAGAAAGAAACAGATGTTTGACACCACAGAACTTATAAATAGATTTAAAAACGCAGTAAAGTATTCTTCTTAAAGGATTCTTTTTCAACCACCATTTCGTTAAAAGAATACGTTGATAAATATTAAATTAATAGAATAACAATTCACAAAGCAAGAAAAGGAAAAATACAACGAGGAGATTACAATTTTATTTTACAATTTTATTGATAAAAAGAGGGGAAAATATACAGACAGAACAGTCAATAGAATGGTTTCCTTGTGAGTACAAAAATGGAAAAAATATTCTTTCAACATACTCGTTGCTAATACAAATAAAATAGTCTCACCCACGTGTAAAAAAAGGCTAAAAATAATGGAAATATTATTAATAAAAAGAAAAATCCAACACTCAATAATATCAGCTATGAACACATGTGCTGACCGTGTTTGGAAAATAAAATAACTTTAGATACATACATAAAACAATCGATATATTTAGTTCAAAGTAACATAAAATTCATCCTTGATAATGCCTATATATATATATATATATATATATATATATATATATATATATATATATATATATGTGTGTGTGTGTGTGTGTGTGTGTGTGTGTGTGTGTGTGTGTGTGTTAGATTTATAAGACATTCGGACAATTTTATATAATTTATGTCCTGAAAAAGAAAAAAATATATAAAAACACTTGAAAAAAATATATAAAATATATAACCACAGCACCTTGTCAGTCGTTTATAACGAAAATATATATATATATATATATATATATATATATATATATATATTAATCAAATCACCCCACACCCCAAGGAAGGCGGGAGTGACACTAACACACAAGTGGTTACAGAGAGTGAGAGCAGGAGTAAAGAGGAGTGTTTGGGAAAAGGATAAAGAGAAGGGCGGGGAACAAGGTCAAGGCCTCAGAAGATTTCTATTAACATTACATCTGAATATTTGAAGATTGTAGCTATCAGGGAAGCAAGTGATAGGAATGTGTGTGTGTGTGTGTGTGTGTGTGTGTGTGTGTGTGTGTGTATCTTACTAAATAAATTACAGAAATTGTGTCTGCTAAGTTTTAATAACATCCGTTTACACCCACGAATAATCTTCCATGTATTGATGTTAAAGCATGAGAGAAATGTGCTATAGCTGTGTAAGTTTCTTTTATTTTCATTTCCCAAGTATGAACAACATATAGTTTTGTACTACTTGTATCCCTGAAGATGATCTTGGATGAAGAACGAAAGTACTTGGGAAATGAAACTAAAAGAAATCTAAACAGCTATAGCACATTTCCCTCATCCTTTAACATCAACACACGGAAGGTTATTCGTGAGTATGAAAGGATTTTGTTAAAAATTAGCAGACATAATGTCTGTAACGTATTCAATAAGACATGCCTAAAAGAGAATTTGCTGCTTAAATACACACACACACATATATATGTATACATATATATACATGTATATATATATATATATATACATATATATATATATACATACATATATATATAAAGAAATATAGTCTTAAGGTATGCTATATTTATGGAATAAAGTGCTTAATATCAGAGATAGAGCGTGTAAATATATAAAAGTGAACATAGAAGTCAACCCTTAGAGGCGACAGTCTGTTTCATGCTATATGCAATCGTCAGGCCACATGCTATAGCCGAGAAAATAACAGCACATGTGGCCTGACGATTGCATATAGCCTGAAACAGACTGTCGCCTCTAAGTGTTGACTTCTATGTTCACTTTTATATATATATATATATGTATATAAAACAAGTTTGATTAAAAAAAATGACAAGGTCTATTTGTTTAATTTTTCATTTTTTTCATTGTATTTTCCTAATTTTCATTAAACTGTTGAGCTATTTTTGTTCAAGTACTTTTAATTTTCACAGTCATTATCATTAGTTAGAATTCCATTGTCTGCATCCTGGTATTCTTTGAGAAGCTGGACGCTTGAAGTGATATATATATATATATATATATATATATATATATATATATATATATATATATATATATATGTGTGT